ACGAATAGCTGGAAAATTGCTGATGTGGCGTAAAACAATATTCATTCATTCATTCATTCATTCATTCAGTTGTCATTTTCTCGAGTGCTTGGTCATCTCATACCATGCCTTTAACATGTTTTTCTGCTTGATGTATATTCAAACTATGTGGGGCTGGTTGGAACATTTGACAATCAACAGCGATAAATCCTTGACATAAAACTAATTAATCAAGGTCTCTATCTGTGTTTAGAACAGTTTAGCTGCAGTATCAGTACATCTACATCTGGGTCTGCGTGATGAGTACAACTGTTTTGAAGGAATACCAGTATACCTAGATCTAGATCTTTTGGATTAGTAGAACAGTTTAGTTGCAGTATCAATACATATACATCTTGGTCTGCATGACTAGTACAACTGTTTTGAAGGAATACCAGTATACCTAGATCTAGATCTTTTGGATTAGTAGAACAGTTTTGTTGCAGTATCAATACATATACATCTTGGTCTGCATGACTAGTACAACTGTTTTGAAGGAATACCAGTATACCTAGATCTAGATCTTTTGGATTAGTAGAACAGTTTAGTTGCAGTATCAATACATATACATCTTGGTCTGCATGACTAGTACAACTGTTTTGAAGGAATACCAGTATACCTAGATCTAGATCTTTTGGATTAGTAGAACAGTTTAGTTGCAGTATCAATACATATACATCTTGGTCTGCATGACTAGTACAACTGTTTTGAAGGAATACCAGTATACCTAGATCTAGATCTTTTGGATTAGTAGAACAGTTTTGTTGCAGTATCAATACATATACATCTTGGTCTGCATGACGAGTACAACTGTTTTTAAGCAATACCAGTATACCTAGATCTAGATCTATGTGATTAGTAGAACAGTTTTGTTGCAGTATCCCTAATCTAGAGCTAGGTTTGTGTGACAAGAAGAACAGTTTTGAAGCAATATCAATACATCTAGATCAATTTGTATGTGATAAGCAGAACAGTTTCAAAGAAGTATCAATACATCTAGATGCGTGTGATTTGTTGAACAGTTTTGATGAAATATCAATTCATCTAGATGTTGATCTGTGTGATTTGTGGCACAGTCTTGATGCAGTGTCAATACATGCGCGTGGTTATTATTTGTATTCTGAAGTTTCTTGCTGCTCTGTGGGGATTCCAGACCCGTGAAGATTCCGGGGTAGAATAGGTCTTCAATAACCCATGCTTGCCGTAAAAGGCGACTATGCTTGTCGTAAAAGGCGACTAACGGGATCGGGTGGTCAGGCCCGCTGACTTGGTTGAAGCATGTCATCGATCCCAATTGCGTGGATCGATGCTCATGATATCAATCACTGGATTGTCTGGTCCAGACTTGATTATTTACAGACCGCCGTCATATAGCTGGAATATTGCTGAGTGCGGCGTTAAACAACAAACCAACCAACAACCAACCAACCAACCAACCAACAACCAACCGTGGGGATTCCAAGTAGGAATATGCCCCAAGCAACCTGTGTGTGTCGTGAGATACAACTCGAGAGCATCAGGTATACAGGCTCAGTGATTTAGTTGATTGTGTGTCATCGCGACCCAATTGAGTCCATCGTTGTACAGGCCACCACGATATAGCTAGAGTATAAGGTAACTGAAGTGTTAGGCAAAAGTCATTGATTGCAACACTAGGCTCACACTCGATGCTGATAATCAAGGGACAAATTACACAGCGTCAAACATAATACAGTAAACTACGGTTATAACGAACTCAAAGGGACTACTAATTTTAGTTCGTTATAACCGTAGTTCGTTATAAGCATATATACAACATAACTACAGCAAATAGTCGGGACCAAAAAATAAGTTCGTTATATCCGTCAGTTCGTTATAATCGTGTTCGTTATAACCGTAGTTTACTGTAATTTGTAATTTCAGTTCAGTTTTTAAAAGAACTTTAAGACTCATTTCTTAAAGAACAACTGTTTTGATAATTGTGTACTCACATGACTTTTTACACTTTGGGTAGTTTGACAACAAACTTTAATGCACATTCGCTTTGCTCTCACCAGGCAGTCAGCCCTACAGTCACTCCCTCAAAAATAACGATTTCTCATAATATCTGTATTGGATACATATATTATTCATAACGCTGCAATCGTTTCTGTGATGGAGGTTTGATAAGATATACAAATCAATGTGCATTCTGTTATATTCAAACTAAATTGGCAAAACTGTTTATGTTGTTGTTAAGGGACCGTCCATTTAATATACAGAGGGAGGGGTGGTATTTTATTGAAACAAAATGAATTGTTCCCTGAAATAATTATGCTGCACATACACAAGTTGAACAAAATCGAGGTAGTGGTTATTTTGCTAGCTCTGGTACAAAAATCAACGGAATAATAATAATAATAATAAGAAGAAGAAGAAGAAGAAGAAGAAGAAGAAATCGAACGATTAGAATAGGGCTCTAGAGCCTTTCAGGCTTGGAGCCCTAATTAACAACATCATTCCAAGTTATGCCATGAGAATCAAGTTGGCTTAAAGTATACCCTATTGAATTGTGATGATGAAGGGTTTGATTTGGTCGGGATATGCAAGGATGGGGGCTGTTGTAAGGGCTTGCTTTAGCTTTTCGAATGGCTGTTGGCAATTGTTGGACCATTCGAAAGACGCATCTTTTTTCTGAAGGTTGTATAGAGGGAAGGCTATGCCAGAAAGGATTGCTGCAAATTTGTGATAAAACGAGGCCACATCTAAAAAATGACACACGTCATGGACATTTTAAGGCGGTGGGATCTGTATGACCAGTCCAACTCAGTCCAAAAGTTTATTTTGTAAACCGTATCCTTCTGTACATGTACTGACTGACTGACACTGTTACAAAAGAAACTGTCCGTTTTTCTGCGCACTCACTACCCCTCCTCTCGCTTCCTGCACGTGACTTACGCGCGCCCATGTCACATGATCACCGTGTCTAAATATAACGTGACCATTTGTCTGCTGCACAATGTGAACCCAGTATTTAACACAGTGGAAACATGATCATTTTGTTTTAGAACCGGTAACATGAGCATAGTCAAACTATTCAAATACAAACTCTTGATATCCAGCGTGATACTTAACTTTCTAATGCATGAAAACATTTGAAATTTTACAAATTTTAAACCTCCCTCACACGAGGAAATTTTCAAATCTAAGACCCTTTTAAATGTAGAAAACAGTCAAAATAAAGAAAAGACAACAAGCAGAAATGCACTTGAAAAACGCTGTGGGCAAGTTATTAACTGGAGTTCCAATGTCTGAAGTGATGCTTGAAATTGTGTGCAAATCCGGTCGTTGCATTCATGACAAAGGTGCCAGTGCATTTGGCAATAAACGATGGTTTTATGTTTCTAAGGTGCAGCTTCATATGAAATAAAGGCCCAAAGTCAGTTCATATCGGGAAACATTCGATTGCTTCTTGGAAATGTATTTTATGTAGGTATACACAACTGTAGCATCGGATACTTGTCATCACCCTGATATGATTCTTATGATTAGACAAAAACTAAAGTTGAACCAAGGTGATCTTTAACCTAACTATGTGAGAGATCTGACACATTAAGGATACATTTCAACATCCTTCCAGACTATTGATGCCACATGTTAATTCAAAAACAATATATACCGATAATTTCATGCACACCTACCTACTGTCTGTAGGTAATAATAGTATGTCAACAGTCTCCTAATACCTTTTTGGGTTTGAAGATCACATGGACATCCGAGATCTTCCAACTGAAGCAGTAGAATACTGTAAACGTATAGGGGGTTAATTTGAGCCCAACGGGGTGAGTGAGTCGGGTGATGTGGGCCTTGAGTGAGTGTTTTGGGGCCAGCAGAGAGAGAGAGTGGCCTGAGCCAAGGCTGAATGCACCCAAGTGTGATTTGAACCTGAGCTCAAATCACACTCTGATTTGACCCTTAGCTCAAGTCACTCTCGAGAGAAATTGAAGGGATTTATTTGAGCCTGCTACGCCGATGTGGAGAGTAACTAAGTTAGGTTTAAAGCCGCCTTGAGTTGTAATTCAATTTTGTCTCGAGCACGTGTAACTCCATTTCGGTCCGCAATTTAATTCTGAACGTTTAATAAGCATTTATTTTACTTTGTAATGTCACCTCTATGAACCTATAACCTATGAACCGAAAACCATGGCACTGCAGATATATACATTGCTGACCTTGTTCTCAGAACTTACAAACTCGCCACTCGCCCCTTTTTGGTTCTGACCCCTTGGTGTAAAACACTTTTCATGGTGATGAATAAATAACTGATGGTATCATTAAAATCCGCGTTTTTCGGGTGCACACATCAGAGTGAGTGAGTTTGGTTTTACGCCGCTTTTAGCAATATTCCAGCAATATCACGGCGGGGGACACCAGAAATGGGCTTCACACATTGTACCCATGTCGGGAATCGAACCCGGGTCTTCGGCGTGACGAGCGAACGCTCTAACCACTAAGCTACCCGACCGCCCCTACACATCAGACAGTAAGTTAATACATGTTAAGTGGTTCAGCGGTTTGGTTGCCTCTTATGACCTTTTCTTCTTCACGGGTCTGGTGCTATCTAATGGCTGATACAAGTTTACTTCATACATACATGAAACCCGTGAAGATCAAGGGTAGCATAGGTCTTCAGCAACACATACTTGCCGTAAAAGGCGACTTTGCTTGTAAGAAGCGACTAACGGGATCGAGTGGTCAGGCTCGCTGACTAGGTTGATGCATGTCATCGTATCCCAATTGCGTGGATTGATGCTCATGACAGTAATAGCTGGATTGTCTGGTCCACACTCGATTATTTACAGACCACCGTCATATAGCTGGAATATTGCTCTGTGCGGCGTTAAACAACCAACCAATCAACAAACAAACCAACCATACATACATGTATATGACTAAAGATTTCAAAACAACAAATGAAGAGAACTCTTTTTATTTTGACAATGTTTTAACAAAACCAAGCTGTCTTAATATATTTTCTGGCAAGAAAACCAACGAAACACATACACTAATTGTAAGAAATTGAGGAAATATCCAGATTATATATATCTGGCAAACATAACTTGTAAATAGCAATACAGTTTCATTTTTTATGATACATCAGTGTGCACAGTTGCAACGTATTTTCATCTCGTTTTCAACATGGAACAGAGTAGTGATTTTAACGTGTGATTCATAACACAGAAGGAGTTCGTCATCGGAGTCATTTACAACGTCCACGTGTGGATTCCCGGTTAGAATTGTACCCAGCAATCTATATATGCCCTTGGTTACATAGAACTTTCTGGATATCGGGTGGTCAGATTCGGCGACTTGGTTGATAACGTGTCCTTGTACCTCGGTTGCGAGAATCGATGCTCATAATACCAATCACAAGCTCGAATTTTGTTAAGTGGATGTTAAAAAACTAAACAAAACTACAACAACATCCAAACATCTCACTTTGATGATCGTGAAAGTTGACTACACTGTGTCAGTGTGTAGGAGTATGTTCTGAGTACGTGATATTGTGCCCCAACAGGATGGGACATTGCTCATCCCTTGGTCACTTTCCAAGTTTGACATGCTGACAGAATATTGTTCAAACATTTATCGACGTCAATTAACAAGCAAAAAGTAAAAATAATATCAAAAGTTCTCTGCAAATGTAGACCATGTAATTTTCTAGCAATTAGGGTGCAGTGACTTGCTGATTCCTGAATGCGTTCTGAAAGTTTTTAATATGGTGATTGTTTTCATAAATGCCATGGGAACGGGTTTCAAACTTGACTTGGGTTTAATGCTGCTTCGAACGGTTCTTAACTTATATAGTAGCGTGTCATTTTGGTATGAGAAGAAAGCAAACAGAGACCTCTCAAGTGTCCAGTGAACACTTATTTAAACCTGACGCCAAATGATTTTTTTCTGCACTTTTCTGGAACAAATGCTTTTTTATCGAAACGATTCCCAGCACAACCCAAACTCCCTCGAATATCCAAAGGGTTGGTATTAATTATGTGTTCGTTTCTAAATCAACGACATTCAAAATAGCTATTCACATATTCCTTTCATATGATATGTAAAAATCATTTAAAGTAGTTGTTTACTTTTGTTAACAGTGGTGAACAGGTTGAACTAGCAGGGTGATTGATTGACGTGTAACCACAGGGGTTTGACTTTCATCAGATTCTAGTAGTTGCAATATGATGTTTCCTGGGGAATTGATGCCTCACAAATGAACCACCTGGTCTTGCTGCATGTATCGGAGGCCCATTGTGGCGTTGATTTCACCGCGATCATGCAGTCCTTGTCTTTTACTGGGTACCCGTCACTCCATGCCAGAAAATTGCCGAACGTTTCACCACTCATCCACCTCCAGTTCATGAAATGGATCTTATGTCCTCCGAGCCAAACACGTTCATCTACAACAGAATTTCAGAATTTATAAGGACTACTTATGAAAACTTGTGATGGCACGTGTGGGGTTCAACATTGCTTTGAACCGTATTTCAGTAATATCACGGAAAGACATAACCTCATAATCAGAACAAATTTTGAATTCTAAACAATCACCAATGGATGCAACTCTGGAAAGGTGCATTTGACGACTAATTTGGCTGTCAGTTGCCCCTTAGTCGCATGGAAGACCATCATGCTAATTACAGACACTACTGTACAAACCAAACGTTCCCTTGGTAGAGTACTCATTCCCTTGTCTTGTTTCTGTTGTAAATTTATTATGTCTGTTTGGAAATGTATGTAGAGAACCGTACAATAACAGTGTAGCAAAAACAGGTTATGAACGACGTGATCGTTTGGAAAAAGCAGTGTGTTATCTTTGCCTTATGCCTAATCCATTTTCCAACCGATAGACATGAAAATGACTGTACATGACTTGAAATGTTTGACAGTCAACCAGATATGTATGAAAGCACAGTGTCTGTGTTAACAGTTATAATTGATAGAGTGTTGGAAGGCTGTTTCAAGTATACACGTCTCAGATTCTGGTTTGCACCATTTACCGTGGCGTGAAGCTATGATGTGAGCTTGATCCACCTTGCTCTGGGTGTTGGCAGTCAGAAGGGGGCAATACATGCTTGCAAGATTGTAGTCCTTCTTACTCTTAACCAGATAGAAACACAGCCACGATGCCCTCTGAAACTTCCGACCTGCTGAGTCGTCACAGTCTTCTGCAAGCATACATGAAACATCTGCCTATATAAACATCTAACTATGGGAAAGATCTGAGATGTGTCCAAAAGACATAATTTATTAGCCGCCATAAACTATGAGGTCGCACATCATACAGTATCTGCGTCCGTTATTAGACGACCGCATACTCGTGAAACATCGGACATGAGGCAAGTTGTCATTAATTTTTCTCGAGTGCTTAGTCGCCACATACGAGACATACCATGGTTCTTGGTGCTTGGTGTATATTCCAACTAATTGGACTTTGAGGAGCAAACTTGATAATCAATTTGGCCATTTGATAATTCCTCGACTTGAAAGTCATGAAAACAGATCCGTTTCTGTGTGATCAGGAGAAGAGGTTGAAATAGTATCAATATATCTACATCTAGATCTAGATCTGTGTGATTAGTAGAACTGTTTTGATACAGTATTGATACATCTAGATCAGGATCTGTGTGATTCGGTGAACCGTTTTGATCTAGAATCAATATATATACATGGTTATTGTTTGTATTCTGAATTTTCCTCGACTGCTTGCTATCTTGTGGGGATTCCAAGGAAGAATGTGCCCCTAGCAACCTATGCTGGTTGTGGAATACAATCCAAGAACATCAGGTGTACAGGCTTGGTAACTCAGCTGACTGTGTGCCATTGTGTCCCAATTGAGGGGTTCGTTTGTGTGGACCAGACTCGACCATGTACAGGCCGTCGTGATATCGCGGGAGTATATGGTAACTTAAGTGTTCTATAACAGCCATTGGTTGTAACGCAACAAGACTTATACTCGATGCTAGTATAAGGGAAAATAAATGATACGGACGGCATGTCAGACACTCACACTGATCAAAATACACAAAAATGCCACGACTGACACCCGATCAAAGCGAGCGGGCCCTGGGTATGATATAGATGGGATCCACCCGTGCCCGCATTGCTAGAGCGTTTAGTTGCTCCGTGTTGCCTTACCTAACCCGATGCAACATTACAGACAGACCGAGCAGACATCTGACAGGCCAAGAACAGGAAGAAAACAGGGCAACTCCGCCCAGTAATCAGCTCAGCGTTACATGGATGACATTCCTCGTCCAATTGTCCTACCATTTCTACAACAGCTGCCATGTGGTGTCAAGCATAACATCGCCAGAACCCATACAGCCCGAATCGTGCAGAACTTCCTTGCAGCCAACAACGTCAACGTGTTGTCGTGGCATGCACGCTTCCCAGACATGTCCCCCAAAGAACACCTCTGGGATGTCATTGATCGTCAGATTCGACGGTGACCACATCCTCCAGCCAACAAGAAGAATGGCGACGTATCCCACGTGACATCATCAGACGACTGGCTTTCTCTGTGCGCTTAAGTTTTTGTAGCAGGGGATTGTCATACACGCAATTAATGTGACGTGTCATTGAACCTGGGCGATTTTAGATGTGAGTGCCTCTGCCCATTACTTTGAAAGTTTGTTTTTGCTGCCCCACCTCAATTGTCATGTCAATATCGTATGCTGTATGACTGTCATTTTAAATGCTGATTTCGTTCAGATTTTGATCTTTTCAATACATTTTACTTCATTGTAGGGAGATACAAACAACGCATACAAACCATGCTTCCACTCGTAGTACAACACGCCGTCTGAGGGGGTTAGAGTGTCGCTTACAACAGAGTAGACAACAGTATTCAAGTTACAGGTTCCATCGCCTTGGTTGTAGAAGAAGGAGGAACATGATGTGTTGTGGAAACACCTGGAGCTGCAGTCGACCAGGGATGTTGGTATCCACGACAGGAGATTGTCGACAACAAGATTCGTCAGAGCGAGAGAGAGAGTTATAGCGGGCACCATCATCTCTGAAAATGAATCACCAACGTCTGAAACTAGAACAACATCTGTCTCCAACAATATTAGTCAAGGCTTCCCTCAAAATCTCTGATGCTGCTTGAAAAAATATTGTCAGTATATGTATTGATTCCTATTAATAGTTCCAATTAACTGACATCAAAAAGTAGTTGTACCGAATGTCTTAATGAATTTGTTAATCACATAACTGTCGCTGTATGAACTATTAATGTTAAACACAACATAAGTATTTTTGTACAAAAACAAGTTTGGATGCCGGTTATGAAATCTGGAGTAAATTGAAAATAACATATATACATTAAAACAATAATATTTATTTCATCTCTGAAAACGAAAATTTCTAAAACTTTACCACTGTTAAATAATGTCAGTCAGTGCTAATCCTCAGAGTCTCACTGATGTTGCATGAATAAATATTGTCAGTAGATCTATTGATTCATATTAATTCAGTCAGTCAGTCAGTCAGTCAGTCAGTCAGTCAGTCAGTCAGTCAGTCAGTCAGTCAGTCAGTCAGACAGACAGACAGGCAGACAGGCAGGCAGGCAGGCAGGCAGGCAGGCAGGCAGAACTCAAATATTAACAATTAAATGGCATTGTCCACCTTATATACCAGTAGTTATATATGATATAATATTTCTGTGGAAGTGTTAATTTGCTAATAAAAATGATTGTGACGACGACCACAATAGGTGGTGCTAGAGAAGGATACCCTGTTGTAGCGAAGGTTTAGTAGCAAACGGACGGCACTTTTTTTCTGATTACGGTTTCAGAAAAAAAAGTATTATTTGACAAATACAACTGTTTTGTTACAATCGGGAGACCTCGTCCTCAATGCTTTGACATGCGACATTACGACAATATTTGCGGTATTTGTGAACTCGGTGATTAGAACCTAGTAATCTGTCACTTTCATCTTGGCCAAAACGACATCAATCTGTCTGATCTCTCTTCCAAACACGTCAGACTCGCTGACTTGGTTGATGCATGTCATCAATCCCAATTGTGTGGATCCATGTTCATGAAATTAATCACTGGATTGTCTGGTCCAGACGCGATTATTTACAGACCGCTGTCATATTGCTGGAATATTGCTGAGTGCAGCGTTAAACAACAAATCAATCAACCAACTCTTCGCAAACGATATGCTGTATATGCAAGTAACCAACAGTTTTGATCAATGTATAAAATCATAGTCAATCATGATAATGTTTCATTTCTGTTTTCAATGGAACTTATAGTCTAACTTCTCAAAGAAAATTGTTTTGACCATGATATACTCACATGACTGTTTCCAAAATTGGTAATATTCTTTATAATTTGACGTGTGACTTTCCAAACGCACTCCAATATATAATGGGAATGCATCTCTTATGTTGTCAATTCTAGTCAGTCAGTGTTACAGCCAGTCCCTCGGAGATAACGATTTCGCATGATATGTGTATTGGATACATAAATATTTTATAAAGTTGCAATCGTTTCAGTTAGAGAGGTTTGTTGAAATAATCCAATCAAAGTGTTATGTTTATCTTTAATTGGCAAAACTGTTTAGGTTGTTGATGCTGCTTCGGTGGTCCAGATATCTCAACTGAGGCGTAAAGAAACTATACATCTCAGTTGATTATAAGCTGTTGCAGGATTTAGTGATGGTTAAATAGATATAATGAAATTTAACAACAGTTCTTTACATGTTCATAAGAAACAAACTCACCATACTTTCTCTTGTCCTTAGTTCATATGTCGACGAATTCTGCTGTACAGTGTTTTGTCCCATTGCACGATTCTGACTATATCATAAGCAAGTATTCATGCATTATGATAGCAGATGTTGGCAAAATGTGTTCAGTTGTTCACCTGAAAAAACAGGAGATCATATGGCACAAGTCATAATAGAGAATTCATTGGATATCACCTTTGTCACTGGTGTGTCAAATTGGGAAATGCCCCCACGTATCAACAACAAAACTGTTTGAAATCTTTGAGACAATCATCACTGTTCTAAAAATTAGTGACACGAAAACTAACCGAAGCCTTGTTCAAAGGGACACTGAACGTAATTCTTTACATTAATCCTGGAATAGTATGTCGAACAAATGACTTCTTGCTGTGGATACAATGAAGCCGTTGCGAACCCTAACCCCGGCTACCGCTTGTCACTGTATTTTGGTCATTAAAAGCCGGTAACTTAAAAGAGATTTTGTACACAATAACTCTGACATAATTAACACACATTACAGATAAAACATAATATACCCACGTTTATAGATCCTTTCACGAACACCTGGTGTCATGACTGACATTCAGTGATCCATTCCTAAATTGTCACCGTTATTTTAATTTTACGCACAATGGATCTGGTTGAGGGGATACTCGAGACTGGTTATAGTCCGGCGTTGACGTTTTATACTTCCAACAGTCCAATTTAAAGAAATGCTCGCGTGAGTATTAATGTAACGTTTAAACATGTCTCATTATAACATGCTGGCCAGTCGAAATTATCTCAATTATATTATTCAGATATTATGACGTATGTATGTGCATAAGAAATAGGGATTTGGTGATCAGGTCTTGGTTGATTTCATGACATCATTCATGCTTTCAGCCACTGGTTTTGACTGGCCGGAACCGATTGATTGACAGCCCAATGCTATATGTAAAAACGGTAGGGGAAGATTGAAAATAAATTTCTAAAATTCTAAGAGATATAGTTTCTCGTAACAGCTGTATGATAATAAGGAACCAACTGGGAACACATTACGACCAATGGTGAAGTATGATCGTCAACGATCTTGACGGACGATAGGGGTAAGATAGAAAATTTCAAACTTGAATTATTTGGATCAGTAATGCGTAATACCGCGACTTGTCAAACATTCATTCACTCGACGAGGCATTGTGCGTACGAGTCTTCCAAAGGCGATGTGAGGGAGTCTGTCCCACTCCTCTTGCAGCGCCGGGCTAAGTTCAGCCATCGGGGTCGGCGGCCTATGACGGCCTACACATCTACCTAGCCTGTCCCAGGCTTGTTCATTGGGTGGACACGCATGCCTGCTTTACCTATTTCTAAACAATATGTTGGTGGAGATTGATGTGAGTTCGTTTATAAACTTATTTACTTCAAACAAACAAGTCGTCATCGTTTACAGATTACTGACCTTAATCTTTCATTTCCTTTTGAAATTGTATTCATAGTGTTTGTTAAGCGCTTCTTTGAAAGATTATTAATACAATTTCCATATATGTTATATGGGTTTGATGTTGACCTTGATCCAGTGAATGATTTGGGCATATTGGGGAGAATGACCTGAGCAGAGCCTGAATGCACCCAGAGTGATTTGAATCCTGGCTCAAGTCACTCGCGAGTGAAAGTTTTAAGGATTTATTTGAGCCTGATACGTTGCGTGGAGTGAATGAGTGAGTGTAGTGATTTGGGTTTAACGCCGCCTTGTATTTTATAGTCATGAAGCATTACTTTTTTCATTAAACTCACTTTGGCTATATTAACATTTTATTAAAAATGTCATTGAAATTAGGGATATTTTAATAAATTGTAAATTCGCAAACGGTGTATAACATCTCTTCAATATGCATTGTAAATGAAGTGGATGTCAATAAGCACATTGTCAATTCTAGAAGGTCTACTGGTCATATAACGACATGTTTTGTGGTATAGGCTGCTGGGGACCAAGTCTATCCTATTCTTGAATCACCGCTTGGCTAAAGAGTGAACATGTAATGCATCACTCTGTCACGGGATCGTAAAACCAGTCTAATCACAGTCTAGTGACCTCATCGATTCCCCCTCGATTGCCCGGCGTCGTCACTGTTCGGCAAAGTCCGGGGGTCGCTGTATTCCGGTTCCTTTACATTCATTGTAAGAACATTAATTACCCGTAAATGTTATTCTCTAGCGGCTTAACTGGAAATTTGTATCATGTATTGATATAATATATGTTGTGTGGTATGTTTATTATGTATTTTTTGTCAATTGTGCCACCTGAATAATTGTATATATCCAGCTGTAAATCTGTAGTAGTATCGCTGGATAGCTATGTTCAGCGCTAAACATTCTCACTTCCATCTTCCTTATTGGTTTAGTAGTTAGTTTGCTATTAGGGTTTTCCTTATGAAAGGAAACACAATTTGGGTACCGCGCCAGGATATTATATTCCCTCAGCTGACCAGAACAGGGTGGCCTCTACGACGGCCGTTGCAAAAATCATGTGTCATATTGTCTGGCATCGAGAGGCCGCTTACGGCTCGTTTTGCTACTGGGTGGTCGTTTGAAACTTAGGTTTCGTTAAAAAGTGGTTACGGGGCAGTTTTAATCTGGCACTGACATACGGGTGGTCTTTAGTCTGTTAGACTAGTTTGATGTTCAGGTGTTTTTCGAGTATTTTATTGTCCAAGAAACGTATTTTAGTGATAGTCCCTCTGGGTGTATTTTTCTCTTTTTAACCCAGCTGAGGTTCTTCACTCATTGGAGTGTTGAAATAATTGACTCTCAGTTGTTAATTGGTCGTAGCCGACTTAATTGGCTGTCTGTGTATCTTGTCAAAGCGTTGATTTAGCTAATTGCTTAGCTTATTAAAGCTATACAATATCGACCCTTACGTACACTGGTTAGTGTATTGGGGGTAATTCAATACTGTATAACACAAACTGTCAACAGTAAACGTATTTCCGTATTTGTTTCGTCAACCAAGGCTTGGTGCTGGTTCCACACACACGTTATTCATCAAGAAATCATCCTTCAGAGGACAGAAGTTAGAAGTAGGTACGGGCAACTAGATGCATGTACATAACATCCAATTAGGCATAGTGTCTTTCACACTGTGTTCTGTGTTCTCTGAGTGTAGCAGGTTCAGCCATGCTTTAAATGGTATTTCAGTTATGTCATGGAGCATATCCCTCTTGATGAATGAGTGAGTGAGTTTGTTATAGCGCCGCAGTGAACAGTATTTCAGTGATATTACGGTGTGACAGTTTAATGTGGAAGATGAGGTGTATAGGGTAAACATGGGGTAAAGTTAATTGCACTCATATAGCGATATACATGCATGTGTGTGTGTGTGTGTGTGTGTGTGTGTGTGTGTGTGTGTGTGTGTGTGTGTGTGTGTGTGTGTGTGTGTGTGTGTGTGTGTGCGTGCGTGCCTGTGTGTATGTGTGTGTATGTGGTTGCTTCTACCCGACTCTAATGCCAGTTTTAGAGTGCTATCCTACTAAGATACCATTCCGCAGTTTAACATGGGAACCCAACTTGGATGCAGCACCCGAACACCAAGCCGACCATTACTTGTTTTCCCTTGAAGCCGAGCGCCAAACATGGTGGCAACAAGTACCATATTTTAAAATCATTTGAAGCTGCCGAGAATTGGCTCGCCGACCTTCCAATCTGTGCCAGACGTTCTATCCACGCGATCACAGAGGCGATCTAGTGTGGGAGGGAAGCCCGAAGTAACCGTAGATGAACAGCAGGGGTATGATGCTGACAAAGAAGCATGATAATGGATTCTGCGGTTCCACGGCCCATAGTATAACTATGGCAACAGCAGGTTAGAGCTCTCGTAAGTATCATGTTTGTTCTAAACAGATTGCGAATGAGGCCAAAATGTCCAAACTTTCCCCCTTTTTGTGAGCAGAGTGACACGACGTCGACGAATGTCTTCTGCGATATCCTCAGGCAACCAGAGGTTACAACAAATATTTATTTTTTTTATATCAGGGTCGTATCAGAGGTAACAGATCAATTCCTTGAAATTGTTCAAATTACTAGTTTCCAGGATGCAGAAGAAGAAATAATACCAAAGGATCACAAAGATGTATTTGGAACTTGGGGAAATTTTTCGCGCACACTTCAGCCTGATTTAATGTATGTGCGTGGACGTTTGTCTTTGACTCTTTGTCCCATTTCTTCCCCCAAGACTTGCCTAGGATCAGTACTTCCCGCAGTTATCATACTGTGAGGTTTTTTTGACACTGGTCTTGACGTATAAGGGGTTACTGATAGTGAAAAACATATTTCCAAGATCTTTGCATACATCTGTAACACCGTGTTATGGAACACCATGGAACACTGCGTTGTCTCTCCGACAAAATGCTTCTAGTCGCTCTTAGCTGATTGTTCGTCTAGATACTGTTCGAGTTTATCCATCTGATCCCGTAATACATCAACATCTCCGTACATAATTTCTTTGTCATGTCTCACGTTCTCTATACCTTTCTTAATAAAGTCTACAGTCATCTCTGAAGAAAAACATTTCCTATGAACCTCAGTTAGTTGTTCTTTCATGCCGTCGATATCTTTAGAGACCACCGCTCAAAAATCGCGCAAATCATCAACTATCGCTGATTTAAATGCACTTAAGTCTTTCATTCAAAT